ACCCAAATGGTGGAGATGGCACCGAAATGGTGGGGATGGCACCAAAAGTGGTGGGAATGTCCTCAAAATGGTGGGGATGGCACCGAAATGGTGGGGATGGCAACAAAAGTGGTGGGGATGTCCTCAAAATGGTGGGATCTGCATTGGAAATGGTGGCAGTGTCCTCAAAATGGTGGGAGCGTCCTCAAAATGGTGGGAATGGCCTCAAAATGGTGGGAATGGCACCAAAATGGTGGGAACGGTAACGAAAGTGGTGGGGATGTCCTCAAAACGGTGGAAACGTCCTCAAAAGTGGTGGGAGTGTCCTCAAAAGTGGTGGGAGTGTCCTCCAAATGGTGGGAACAGCACCAAAATGGTGGGAAAGTCCTCAAAATGGTGGGGAAGGCAACGAAAGTGGTGGGGAAGTCCTCAAAATGGTGGGAATGTTCTAAAAATTGTGGGGATGTTCTCAAAATGGTGGAACGGTACCGAAAGTGGTGGGAATGTCCTCAAAATGGCGGGAGCATCCTCAAAATGATGGGAACAGCACCAAAATGGTGGGAATGGCAATGAAAGTGGTGGGGGTGTCCTCAAAATGGTGGGAGTGGCCTCAAAACGGTGGAAACGGCAACGAAAGTGGTGGGAATGTTCTCAAAATGGTGGGATCTGCATTGGAAATGGTGGCAGTGTCCTCAAAATGGTGGGAATGGCACCAAAATGGTGGGAATGTCCTCAAAATGGTGGGAACAGTAATGAAAGTAGTGGGAATGTCCTCAAAAGGGGTGAGATGTCCTCAAAATGGTGGAAATGGCCTCAAAATGGTGGGAATGGCACCAAAATGGTGGAATCTGCATTGGAAATGGTGGGAGTGTCCTCAAAATGGTGGGAACGTCCTCTAAATGTGGGAATGGCAACGAAGGTGGTGGGAAATGTCCTCAAAAGGGGTGAGATGTCCTCAAAATGGTGGGAATGGCGCCAAAATGGCGGGAATGTCCTCAAAATGGTGGGAATGTCCTAAAAATGGTGGGAATGTCACCAAAATGATGGGAATGGCAACAAAGGTGGTGGGAAATGTCCTCAAAAGGGGTGAGATGTCCTCAAAATGGTGGGAATGGCACCGAAATGGCGGGAATGTCCTCAAAATGGTGGGAAAGTCCTCAAAATGGTGGAATCTGCACTGGAAATGGTGGGAGTGTCCTCAAAATGGTGGGAATGGCACCAAGATGGTGGGAATGGCAACGAAAGTGGTGGGAATGTCCTCAAAATGGTGGGATCTGCATTGGAAATGGTGGGAGTGTCCTAAAAATGGTGGAACGGTACCGAAAGTGGTGGGAGCATCCTCAAAAGGGTGGGAATGGCACCAAGATGGTGGGAATGGCAATGAAAGTGGTGGGGAAGTCCTCAAAATGGTGGGAATGGCACCAAAATGGTGGAACGGTACCAAGAGTGGTGGGAATGTCCTCAAAATGGCGGGAGCATCCTCAAAATGGTGGGAATGGCACCAAAGTGGTGGGAATGGCAACGAAAGTGGTGGGGATGTCCTCAAAATGGTGGGAGTGGCCTCAAAATGGTGGGAATGTCACCAAAATGGTGGGAATGGCAATGAAGGTGGTGGGAAATGTCCTCAAAAGGGGTGAGATGTCCTCAAAATGGTGGGAATGGCACCAAAATGGTGGGAATGTCCTCAAAATTATGGGAATGGCAATGAAAGTGGTGGGGATGTCCTCAAAATGGTGGGAGTGTCCTCAAAATGGTGGGAGTGTCCTCAAAATGGTGGGAGTGTCCTCAAAATGGTGGAACAGTACCGAGAGTGGTGGGAATGTCCTCAAAATGGTGGGAGCGTCCTCAAAATGGTGGGAATGGCACCAAGATGGTGGGAATGGCAATGAAAGTGGTGGGAATGTCCTCAAAATGGTGGGATCTGCATTGGAAATGGTGGGAGTGTCCTCAAAATGGCGGGAATGTCCTAAAAACTGTGGGGATGTCAGCAAAATGGTGGGAACGGCAATGAAAGTGGTGGGTAAGTCCTCAAAATGGTGGGGACATCCTCAAATTTGTCATTGCATTGACCAACTGTTGGAGAACGTTGGTGGCCTGAAGCCACCACTGGCCACCCGTCATGTTGACCAATGGTTGGAGAACGTTGATGGCCTGAGGCCATCCCTTGCATTGACCAATGGTTGGAGAACACTGATGGCCTGAAGCCACCACTGGCCACCCCTTGTATTGACCAACAGCTGGAGGTCATTGGTGGCCTGAGGCCATCCCTTGCATTGACCAATGGTTGGAGAACATTGATGGCCTGAGGGCTCCTCAGCTTGGGTGGGTGCTCTGTGTGTTGGCCAATGGTTGGAGAACATTGGTGACCTGAAGCCACCACTGGCCACCCCTTGTATTGACCAACAGCTGGAGGTCATTGGTGGCCTGAGGCCATCCCTTGTGTTGACCAACAGCTGGAGGACATTGATGGCCTGAGGCCACCTCTTGCATTGACCAATGGTTGAAGAACATTGGTGGCCTGAGGCCATCCCTTGCATTGACCAATGGTTGGAGAACATTGATGGCCTGAGGCCACCCCTCATGTTGACCAACAGCTGGAGGTCATTGGTGGCCTGAGGGTTCCTCAGCTTGGGTGGGTGCTCTTTGTGTTGGCCAATGGTTGGAGAACATTGGTGACCTGAAGCCACCACTGGCCACTCCTCATGTTGANCCCTCATTGATCTGACATTTTCCATCAACACCTTCATTGATGATCTCCATGGGGTCCCCAAGCTCAGTCTGACCATGGTGGCCCCACAATGAAGTTGACCGAGACACCAGAGTGACCTTGGTGTCTCCAGGACCTCGGCCACCCGTGTGGCCTCCTGGGCTGGTCCCCTGTGTCCCTGGGGGTGCTGGTTTATACTGGGAGGCCTCTCCTGGTGCTCCAGAGGGGTTGGGACGGGGAGGACCCCAGCCCCAAGCCCACCTTCAGCTCTGGACTCTGCCCTGCACAGCCCGAGGGGATGCGGCTGGAGAAGACGGTGAAGATCGTGGAGCTGGACCCACAGAAGAAGGGAGTCAGTGAGTGACATCTCTGGGGAGGTCCCACCGTGGCTTTGGGACATCTCTGGGGTCCATGGAGGTGTCACGGTGGGTTTGGGACATCTTTGGGGACCATGGAGGTCCTGTGGTGGCTTTGGGACACCTCTGGGGTCCATGGAGGTCCCATGGTGGCTTTGGGACATCTCTGGGGATCAAGGAGGTGTCACGGTGGGTTTGGGACATCTTTGGGGACCATGGAGATCTCACTGTGGCTTTGGGACATCTTTGGGGATTAAAGAGTTCCCATGGTGGCTTTGGGACATCTCTGGGGACCATGGAGGTCCCATGGTGGGTTTGGAACATCTTTGGGGACCCGGAAGATCCCATGGTGGCTTGGGGACATCTTTGGAGTCCATGGAGGTCTCACGGTGGGTTTGGGACATCTTTGGGGTTCATGGAGGACCCACTGTGGGTTTGGGACATTTTTGAGGTCCATGGAGGTCCCACAGTGGGTTTGGGACTTCTTTGGAGATCAAGAAGCTCCCATGGTGGCTTTGGGACATCTCTGGGGATCAAGGAGGTCCCACGGTGGCTTTGGGACATCCTTGGGGACCATGGAGGTCCCACTGTGGGTTTGGGACGTCCTTGGGGTCCATGGAGGTCCTGTGGTGGATTTGGGACATCTTTGGGGTCCATGGAGGTCCCACCATGGGTCTGGGACATCTGGAGGGATCAAGGAGGTTCCTCCAAGCTCAGATTTGGGACAACTTGGAGAACAAGTGACATCCCACCACGGAACTGGGACATCTCTGGGGACAAGGTCCCACCTCGATGTGGGGCGGGGCTGGGTCACCTCAGGAGAGGACCTGGGGTCACCACGTCCACCCCACCCCACAGACGGCGTGCAGGAGGAGCGGGTCAAGGCCGCCGACCTCTCGGACATCGTCCCCAACACCGAGTCGGAGACCAAAGTCAGCATCCAGGGTGAGCACCATGGAGATGACACATGGGGACAACCCGGCGGTGGGGTGGGACATCCCGAGCGTGACAGGTCCTCTCCTGGCCCAGGCAACCCCGTGTCCATCATGGTGGAGAAGGCCATCGATGGGGCCAAGCTGAAGCACCTGATCGTGACGCCGTCGGGCTGCGGCGAGCAGAACATGATCGCCATG